GGGACCTCTAGGATCCCACCAACTGTCCACTACAGAAGCGTCACCATTACATCAGAATATTGGAACCGAATGGAATTTGGAGACCATGATCCCCACATTACACCTGAGGAAACTGAGGAACTCAGTCTTAAACACCTACCAAGTTAATGACAGGGTCATTAGTCCACAAACCTGTCCTCTTGCTCCTCAGAAGAGTGCTTTTCCCCGAAGTGAGTGCAAAGCGTCATGGGCATTAACACCAGAGTACCTTTGCTCTGCTCCTATAGGCTCTGACATAGTAAAGGGGACTTCTGCTTCTTAACCCTTTCACACATGCAGAGCTCTGTGCCAAGTGCTTTGCCCATACCATCTTATTTAATTCTCATAACAATACTGCGAGGTAGGGATTATTACAGATGATTCAACTGCAAAGCAGCAAGTTCAGTAACTTGCCCAAGGTCATACAGCTGGGAAGCACCAAACCCACAATTCAGTCTTGGGTGCTCTGTTTCCCTAGCTCATGCTCCAAGCCACTACTTTGCCTGTTATAACTGCTTCTCTCAATGCCAAACACCATCACATCCCACAGTCTGCACAGACACTTCCCATGACCTTCTTCCCTTAAACAGAACCCAAGGCTTAGCCCTTCAAGGTCGGTCTGAACCATTCACACCGTATACATTTCAGTCTACAGATTGTCCACAGAAAGATTTTTTTGTTAAAGGGGACAATGCCTGAGAATCTCTACAGAGGGCCCATTCTTATAATATTTACCCTGCCAATCTACAATTCTTTTCTTTTGACCTCCCTATACGCATATTCCAGAATTGGTTTTAAATACACTCATGGTAGGCACAAAGTAACAAATTCCTGCTTGATTCTCCTCTTTTGAAACTATACTACCATTTTTTATCACACAGAAACCTTTTGTTCAATCAACAAACATCGACGTGTGCAGAGTATGGTGTTGAGAACTTAGGAAACAGGACTCACATCACAGGTTGGGCTGTGAGGTTTGTTCTTTTTCAGTGACAACACAGAAAGAGGTGATCCCAGCATGAAGAAGTTAGGGTATCCTCTTATTCTTCCCCGAGAAGAATTCCATCCCCTGCCCTGGGAAAAGAAACCAGAACAGCTGATGCCCTGTTTTTCCTTGCCATACTGTCGGGAGAAGAGCAAAGCAACGAGCTCAAATACTAGAAGACAACAGCATCACATGTTACTCTTCCATATGGACTTAAAGAGAAAATAAGAAAGGATAGAATCTCCTTCCTTGTTAGCTGGACCTTCTGTAGTCAAGCAGGTCCTTTGGGAGAAAACTAGATAAGTAAATGAGTTTGTTTTGTAAAATCCACTAGGAAGAGACTCACTGAGAAGACTGAACTTCTTGAGGGCACAGGATCTCTTTCTTATTCATTTTTGCATTGCACTTTGCATCCCCGACAGCTAGGATAGTACCAAACACAAAAAAGGCACCCAAAATATGTATGCGTAAGAAGTAAATGAATAAAGAGGGTTTACTATTTGGGGCGGGGGGGTGGATATTACTATTATTATTATACTCTTCATCATCATCAGTATTATAAACAGGTAGATCTAACTTTGTGCCTTTCATTTGGGATACCGTAGATGAAGAAACTTGAACTCTAACAAAATAAGGGATTCTGGTCTAATTTCCAAGGTCTGAGCCACAAAAGCATCACAAAATGTAGAGCTGTGTTTAAATGAAATCTTATTTTAAACTTGCATTTTAAAAACCCTGGAATGAAAATCTAAGTTGGGATCTCAACCTTGTTGCAGAGAGAATTATTAGTCCCCTCCTTTAATATACTCCGAAATGGGAGCACGGGCTTGGGAACACACGGTAGAGGTGGGTCCTCTTAAAATCTCTCCAAGGAACAATCCTGTAGACGAAAGCACCTGATTTTCTGATCAGGCATTGTATTTGTCAGAAGAGATGATTGGGGTAGCACTGACAGAAATTTTATCACATCTAACATTTGTTCATTTCACACTTCGGGCTCTCTCTCGATCGCAGGACTCGTTCCATTGGCATTTGTCATATCTCGGCTATCTTGTTTCACCACTCTGTAGATGGTGGCTTTTTTAGGCGACTTTTTCTGAGCTGAGGATTTTTTTTTCTAGGATGCCAATCCAATCTGGTATTTCAAAATGCCAACACCATTGGCCCTGCTGGAAACCGATTAAACAATTTCTATGCCTAACAGCTCTTTTCAAGTTGCTGAGTTTTTGATTTTCATTTCTTAAGGCTAAATTTTCACACACACAAAAATTGCCCACTCTTTGCATGCAAATGAAGCAGTTTAGAAATGGAAATTCAAGCACAGTGAGCCCTGCATTAATTTACAAATCCATGGCATATTTAAAATATTTTTTCAAATTGCTTCACACGTTTTGGGTGTGTGACACATCGCCATTTAACTTAGTCAAAGTTATTTTGCTGATAAACTTTAGATAAACTCTAAAGAAGGCATCTTTGGGAGAACTTTATTATCTATTCCGTTATATTTTTTCATTAAAATAAAATGAGATCAAATTGGGTGAGCTAGAGCTCTCTGGAAAGGCAGGACTTTCTTGCCCAGATGGGCCTTTATAACCTTGAGTGAATGGAAGGGGAGCGTGAAATGAACGTCCTTGTGCGTAGAAGTCCAGGAAGGTACGAGTGTGTATGTCATCCACACTTTACATCTCAACTGTTTGATTTCTGGATCCTGTAAGGAGAGAACCCAAATGTATCCTCACATCTCTGTAGAGATAAAAATAGACAATATCGCTAGTCTTCAGCAAAGTGTATCCTAGCTTTCTGTTGTGTCTTTGCAAAAGAATGTACATTTGGCTCAAATAGAGCTATTGAAGGAAAAGACTTTTTTTTTATCTTTTTATTTTCTTATAATACTCAATGCCAGCATATTTTAGAGTCGACATTCCTGAGATTTTTGAATTTAAAGGAGGTCTTCTATTTATCTATCAGCGTATATCAATTCATATTCCAGTCAGACTTGAAAACTATAGTGTGCCCTACCAGACAAGAATTATAAAGTCACAGGAAACAAAACAGTGGTACTGGGGCAGAGACAGAAAAATAGTCTCCGGGCCTGAACAGAGAAAGCACACATATATGGGAGAAGTGACATTACAAATAAGTAGAAAAGGAACAACTCCTAAATAATGGTGCTGGGACAATCAGGTAGTAATTTCAAAAAAAAAAAAAATGTTTTTAAAGATGAAGAAAAAGAAAGAAAAGAAAACAGAACTACTACTCACATCATTCACTAAAATCAATTCCAGTTAGATCACTGACATATGGAAGGAAAAATTGTACGAGTTTTAGAAAGAAAACGGAAAACGTTTTTGTGATGTCAGGCTAGGGAAAGATTATTAAAGAAGTCACAAAAAGAACTAACTATACGGAAAAAAATAAGGAAAAAGTAATGATTGATTCAACCACATTAACTTCCATTCTTCAGAAGACACCAAAATGAGTTTAAAAAAAAAAAAAAAGGATACAGCCTGGGAGAAGTTATCCTATAATTAACAAAGCATTAATATCCAGAATATAAAGAACTTCTCTGTCAATAAGGTAAAAACAACTGAGGAAGGGAAAAGCAATCCAAGGGCATAAGAGATGAGAAAGCATTTCGGAGATGAGACAAGACACATGTCTGTTACATACAGGGAAATGTTCATTAATCATCAGGAAAATGTATAATGAAACCACAGTGAGATACCATTCACTCTCACCTGGTGGCTAAAATTTTAGTCTAAGAATATTATCAGTAAGATGCGGAATAAATATGGAAAAATGGATACCCCCATAAACTGTTGTTTGGAGTAAACTGCCACTTTGTTACTCCCACTTTGGAATATTGGTTAGCATCTCACAGTAAAATTAAGCATGTGTACATCCCACAACTCAGCAATTTCACTCGCAGATGTACAGCCAAAAGAAACGAATGCATGTATTTACCAGGCTCCATGTATGAAAATATTCATAGTAGCATTGTTGTTCAAAACAAAACAGCCCCAGGGCACCGGGGTGGCTCAGTTGGTTGAGCGTCCAACTGCGGCTCAGGTCACGATCTCAGGGTTCACAAGTTCAGGCCCCACGTCAGGCTCTGTGCTGACAGCTCAGAGCCTGGAACTTGCTTCGGATTCTCTGGCTTCCTCTCTCTCTGCCCCTCCTCCACTCACGCACTTATTCTCTCTCTCTCTCTTTCTTTCTCAAAAATAAATAAACACTAAAAAAAAAAAAAAAAAAAACCAAACATCCACAAACAGGAAAACGTATGAACGGATTACGACATAGTCCTACAGCGGAATGCAATATGGCTACATATGAACATGACTGAATCTAAAATGCATAACATGCAGCAATACTAAAGCAAGTTTAAAAAAATGCGTGTGGCATAATTTTATTTATCTAAATTTCCAAAACAGGCAAAATGAAACGTTATATTGTTTAGGAATATCTATACATAAAGAAAAGACAGAAGGTGATTCAGAGAAAATGCAGGGTGAGAAGAAGGGTTCTTCCTCTGGAGAGAAGGGTTCAATACCATTTGGAGATACCACGCACAAGGCTTCAAAGCATCAGTACTATTTTTCCTTTTACTGGATTTATTTTGTCATTATTCTTGAAATTGTATAATAGATGTTAAACACACTCTCTTGTACGTATTATATATCATATATGTAACATATTTTTAAAGGTTTTCCAGAGAGCTTTGATCTGTGAGGGCCTAATCAAAGGTACAAACATAAAGTACCTCACTTCCCACCCCATCCCAGTTTGTCTTAAATAGTGAGTTGGTTCCCAAAGCTCTTCTCCCAAAGTCACGTGGCTTCCTGCTCACTATGTGACTCGGAGAACAGAGCTGTGGGCAGCAGTGGCCAGGAAGCAGGTGGAGCCCCAGACACCCATGTGCTTCTCACAGTGGCTGATGTGTTATTTTTCTCACTTACTGTTATCGATCTTGCCTTATCTTTCTGCCATGACACAGGCTGAAAAACACAGTGACATCTGATGGTTTGTTGACCTGATTCACCCGTCCCATTTGGATAACGCCTGTGGTGGCTGACAGCTGAAAAAAGTCTCCACAAAGAATCTTGTCCTGAAGTCTCAACTGAGCACTTTCTGGAAACAGGTATTAAAGAAAAGTTTTTGCTGAAGAAGGATCTTTACCTTGCGTGTATTTGTTTAGTCTATGCTTATTAGACCTCAGATTTCCTTATGTTCCACGAAAATGATGAAGATGTGTTCCCTCGAATCATAAATGCACTTTTTGTTGCTATTTTAACATCTCTGAAATCAAGATGCGTTTACAATCTAAGACATGACATAGTTTGACAGCAGTTTTTTCTTTCTGAGAATGCGAAATAATGGCTTGTCTTTAGATTCGTGGTTTCTTAGATTCTCTGGCATGTAACACCAAGTTTCAAGGGGGATTCCCATTGATAGAAGACGGAGAAAACCAGAGGTCTTAGAACAGAGAGATCACACCCTGCTACACTCCCTAGAGGCCAGAAGTGACTCTGATAAAACCCACACCTGAGAACCACTCTTGTTTCCTCCCTTCACCAGCTCGCCCTACCCTGGCTTAACTGTTTGATTTCAGTAACTTGGTCACTGATGTATAGTACTAGATTGAGGACTTACCAAATAACATGAAGATATTTTTTTAATGTTTATTTGTTTTTGAGAGAGAGAGAGAGAGAGAGAGAGGCACAGAGACAGAATCTGAAGAAGGCTCCAGGCTCTGAGCTGTCAGCATAGAGCTCACTGCAGGGCTCAAACTCACGAACTGTGAGATCATGACCTGATCTCAAGTCGGACGCTTAACCGACTGAGCCACCCGGGCACCCCTGTGAAGATATTTTTTTAATGTAAGGTTTCTAACAGGAATTATTCATTTCTACAGATCCTTTAAGAATTATTCAATAAGTTACAAGTTAGAAATTACATGGTGTGTGGAGGGGGTCGGGTACCAGTTTTCGTTGAGATAAACCAAGATAAGATGCTTTTCTGTGTTGAGCAGGAATTACCTAAACTGTGGGAGTAGCTTCGACAGGTTTCCATTTGCTTACGGCGAAGCCTCTTCAGACCAAGACTTACTGGAAACGGGGCTGTGCTTCTTTTTGTTTGATGTGTCATGGGTAGACCCAAGCGCCACACCATCTACACATGGCACTTAATAAGTACGGACTGTTCCGAGTTTAAATGGATTTAATCTGGGCAGACAGGAAGAGCAGACATCAATCAGCACGTGTTTGGCTTGTTTTGAGAAAACAACGTTAATCTGACCTAGCATGGTCCACAGTGACCCACTCAAGGCCCAGGTAGCTGGTATCCGACATCCCTCAGGGAAATCACGATAGAGATTGTATGGTTTCCCTTCAAGTAAAGGAAACTTAAACAGAGGAAGAATTAATGTAGGTAAAACACCAGACTGGCAGCCTGAACAGCTCTTTGCCACCTGGCCATTGTAACATCCTCAGAGTCCCTGCCAATGGCATGCTTTTTTTCCACCCCACGGAACAGAGTGCTGGAAACAGATACTAGGTAGTAGTTTGCCTCCAGTGCCCTGATATGTGACAGTTTCCTGCATGGGACTTTTATTCTTATTTGGCATTTGAACTTTTAAATGACTCCCTGATTAATGCTTCGATGCTGCACGTGATAATTGCCTTGGCAGACAAGGATGTCTTTGTTCTTGCCCACTCACCTTTTGTGTGGAGTTTCCCACTCCTGTTCCCTTATTTATGACTTGTTGACGTTCATCTATATTTAGCGAGTGTTTTGCTAATATCCAAGGAGTCATCAAAGGTGCAGCTGCTCAATCTCTACAGGAAACTCCCGCTTTAAGGGGCTAGCTCTACTCTAGGAGGATCTGCTCCGGAACATTCCTCTGCAGGAAGATGAGATATGCACTTCTTGATTTTTAAATTAGCTGGCTTGTGCTTCTATCTTTCCCCCCATTTTTGGAGCTCAGTGAACTCATATGTTATTCTTGGTTGGTTGTCAAACCAGCAAGGATGTTTTTCTGATCGTCTTTATGTGGAGTTATATTTGGCTGTTTTTTCCTCCCTTTTCAGAGACTCCTTTCTTCACTGTGTGGACACGTGACCTTGTTTTTGTGTTTTCAGTGTCCCAAGCTAGGAAACTTGTGATAGTCCTTTCCTGTTCCTTCTTGAGTCACTGGTTTATGTCACAAATGCTTGGCTCACTTCCTCCACGTCCTTAGGAAGGGGGTCCTCCAAAACAACCCCCACTGCTGCCTCTCTATCTCTGTGTGGTTGCCACAGCACAAGCCATGACAAGGCCCTTTCTTTCTCAACCCCATCCCAATCGGGTTAATTAATGGTATACTCAGAATACACTATTTTAAGGTGATCTTGCCACAAGGCAAAGCCACTATAGAGTTCTCAATTCCACAAGGAGCTGTCTCTTTGCAGTGCAGAGATGACTCCCCATAAGGCCTCATGGGTCTCTCCGTCAACCCACTTCTATCCATCCTTAGAAACAGAAAATATTTATTTCCCCTTGGTCCAGGCTTCCAAACATCAGGGGGGCGCGCCGCCCGGAAATCACCCTTTTCATACATATCTTGAATAAAATAAGAAGAGACTATCAGAATCGATTTCACAAGTGCTTTTGAAACTGACAAGAATCCAGCAGAGGAGAAAAACTAAACCCAGGAACCTGGAATGGATAGAGGAAGGGGGGCATTCGAGAATGTTCTGCTTTAACTGTTGCCCCTTCCATGCAGCATCCATCGCTCTTGTGGCTGAATCAGGGGAGGGATGGGAACCAGCCTTCGCAGGCAGCCTGCTGTGTGTGCTACTTTAACACCCATTTTGGGAGACAGTGTGATACAGGGGTTGAGAGCACAGGCTCAGGGGCCGGGTTTGAATCCTGCCTTTACCACTTCTCCGCCATGAACCCCTTAGCCAGTTATTTTAATCTCTCAGTGCCTCAGCTTCCTCATCTAAAATGGGGACAGAGGGGGATCATAATAGTACCTCTCCCCATGAAGTTAGGAGTAAGTAGGTTGATATTAAACAGAGCCTGGCAAGGGGCGCCTGGGTGGCGCAGTCGGTTAAGCGTCCGACTTCAGCCAGGTCACGATCTCGCGGTCCGTGAGTTCGAGCCCCGCATCAGGCTCTGGGCTGATGGCTCGGAGCCTGGAGCCTGTTTCCGAGTCTGTGTCTCCCTCTCTCTCTGCCCCGTTCATGCTCTGTCTCTCTCTGTCCCAAAAATAAATAAAAAACGTTGAAAAAAAAAATTAAAAAAAAAAAACACACAAAAAACCAGAGCCTGGCATAGAATAACTACTATACAAGCATTTGATGAACCTAAAGTTCACTGAAGCTGAATAAATAAATAAATAAATGTGACCCTCAGTCCTCTGAGCTACGTATTTGTAACCAACATCCCTGGTTGCTGGTTCAAGAGCCTCTCATCCTCTCGCTTCCTGCAGGCAGGGCTCTCCTCCATTTGATGGAGGCTGGAGATGCCATACGCCAGCCTTCCCAGCATCCCTTGCAGCTGAGACATGAACACAGAAACCAATCGTGGCCAGTGGAAACTGAGGACATTTTTGCTGGTGCCTTTTGGAAAGATTTTCCCGCCCTACCAAAAAAAATGCGGTTTTACAAGAAGCCCCCTCCCATGTTTCCTGTGTGTTGACATCCTTCTATACCCCATCATCTTGTGACCACAAGGAAAAAGCCAAGAAAAGCCAATCTAGTTCCACTGAAGCAATTCCAAAACCACCTAGGCCCAGGCTCCTTGTCAAACACAGTGTTGAGATAATACATGTCCTTGTTCTGTAAGTCATTTGTAGTCAGTTGTTTATAGCCAGATGCATCCCAAATAACACAAGGAGATTTTAAATGAGGAAATGGAGGGTTAAGAAGGCTGCCTAATTTTGCTAGCCAGGCAGATGGTAGGATTAGAATTCAAACCCCATCTAACTCTAGTTTGAGCTCTTACTGCTACATCAGGAAGCCACCCCAACTGACAGTGCTCAGCGACTAGACAAAGCCAGGTAGGACCCAGAGCACCAAGGGACTGCTGTGTTCAGGACTGACTCTTCAGCAGAGCAAAAAATAACAAATGCCTTACAATGTATTGTTCCTCTATTGTCTGCAAAGCACTCTCACGTCTAGAAATGTAGAAGTGGAAGGGAGCTCATAGACCATCCAGCCCAGATGACAAAACTGAGATGACCAAAGCCACACACCTGGTTAATGACAAAGTCAGATGAGAACTGAGGTCATGACCTCATTTTACAGGTGGAGAAACCAAGGCACAGAGTGAGTTATGTGTCTTGTCCAAGGTCACAGACTAGTAAAGCTGGCATATAAATTAGGCAGTCTGTCTCCCAAGTCCTCGATTGCTATAACATACGCCCTACAGTGACGGGCTTCTGTAACTTGGGCCTTGCTTATAGAGATGTGCTCTCCTAATCTGAGGGAGGAGTGTAATAATGCTGCAATCAACATCACAGATGCCAAAAAGGTTAGCTCCAAAATTGTGAGCTCCCCAGCCTGGCTGGCTGAGAGAACAACTGGCCCATCAAGGCTCACATGCAGAGCTGGATTGCCCAAAGGCCACGCTAACTCATGCAGAGAGCACGGGTGAACCAGGGGCAACCAGAAAAGGAGGAAACTCAAGTTGGAAAACTTTAGTCTAAATTTGTAATAAAACAAAAATCTGAGGGGCACCTGAGTGGCTCAGTTGGTTAAGCGACCAACTTTGGCTCAGGTCATGATCTTGCAGTTTATGAGTTTGAGCGCCACATCGGGCTCTCCACGCTGACCCCAGATACCATGAAGCAGAGAAGAGCCTTCCCTGAATTTCTGATTCGCATAGTCCATGAGCATAAGTTTTGGTGTGGTTGAGAACACTCTCAGGTCACAAGAATCAGTAGTTTTTCAGATTCCATCCCCTGCCCCTCCTCCTGCAATACTACAATGAAATTCAATTCTGACACTAACCACCCCAAGTTAGGGTCAAACTCCACAAGTTCAAGGGTATAGTCCCCAGCAAGACTGCCCTCACTTCAGATGCCAGTCACAACTTTGAGTGTTCCCAGACCACCTGCACTTCTGACAAATTAGCTACAAATCCAAGGGATCTCAA